ATTAACCAATAGGATGTATTGAACTAGATCTGCTATATTAACCAATAGGATGTATTGAACTAGATCTGCTATATTAACCAATAGGATGTATTGAACTAGATCTGCTATATTAACCAATAGGATGTGTTGAACTAGATCTGCTATTTTCACTACTTTTGCGAGACACTTTTTTTTATAAAGTAGGGCATAAATTCATAAAAAAAAGTTTATTTGAATTCTATAAATCAAAGTTTTCTGTCCAACAGCAATGATGATCTGCACGGCAGCATTCTATACCCAGTTATTGTAGCATCTAGGATAGAGCTGCAGAATCTGGTTGGTATTCCAAATTGTAAAGGTTCACTTTTTTTGCAACATAAAACTAGACTGAAACCTTTTTTAAGTTTTAGTCGACTAAAACCGACTAAAACTATCGTAATGACTAAAGCAACAATAGTTTTGTCCTGAAGACTAAGAGTAAGACTAGACTAAGAGTAAGACTAAATCTAAGATGGCTGCCAAAAGCAACGCTGGCTGAAATCCACTTTAACCTCTTTCTTCTCAGCTGCTTCCAATCTTGAGCTTATAGCAGATATTAACTGGATAAAACAACACAAAACTGATTTCTCTCCACAAACACTGGAAGCCTGCTGACGGCTAACAATTCAGATTCTTCATCCAACCAGGGATCCACACTGATTCACCATCGATCACATATTTGGATGTTGATATCTGCAGATGGCATTAGTTTTCCCAGAGTTCTGTTAGGTTTCATGTTCTCATAAACTCCTCCCTGATGTATGAGCTTAGGCGTGTTTATGCCTAAAGGTAGCAGTGGATCAGCGTAACGTCATCCAAACAGAAAACCAACAAATTCGAACTCTCTTCATTAAATCAGAAACAGATGCTCATAGATCAGAAACACACCTGCTGATCAAGAGTTTAACCCACATTTATTATAGAAATGGGCTGAATAGATCTGCCCCTATTAACCAGGCCCATTTTCACTGACACACTTGATCTAGAATTTTGAAAACATGAACCAGGAGGTTTGGACTGGGCCTCTAATCGATCCTTCAGAAGGAAGGTCAATAAATAAACGTCTGGACCGGAACACTAACCTGCATTTATAGATCCGCAGCTCAGAGGGCCGGCATGATGCAACGTCTCCTCTGATCATCAGAGGTGTTTCTTTTCATTCATGCATGTCTGAGTAACAATCAACTTCGTTGCTTTTCCTCGTCTTTCAGGATGTCCTCCTTAACTCAGCTGGTCTCCTGTTTGAAGGCAAGAAATTCTTCACCTGACTATGAGATGGTGAGTCTCCTGTTAGCCTGAAGCTAACCTTCCCACCTGGGTTTTGGACATGGAAAGTGTTTTTCACTGGTTTCCTGCTGGATCCCAGTACAGTCTGCCGCGGCGTCCAGTTCACTTCGGTTTTCTGACAGGATGAACTTCTTCATTCCTCGTGAGATGTAATCAGCCAAGCGGCAGATAGAAATGCTTGAAATGATCCCCGTGTTTAAAATAAATCTATAAAATCTGAGATGTTTAAGTTGAATTGAACTAAAGATCTGAAAATGTCGAGCTGCTATAAAAGGCTCTTTGTAAACAGTCTAAAGTTTAGAAACTAAACTTTCCTGCCGTGACTCAGGTTCACCAGGCAGGACTCACCTGTGACTCGATGGAGCTGCCGCATCATATCAGCACAGAGGAGGAGATCGATGGACTGATCTCTGCCGTGCAGCAGGTCCTCAGGCGTCTGCCGTCACCCACACTGGTCACCATGTCCAGGTGAGGATCCCTGATCTGAGCGTAGCGAGTAGGAAGGCCTGATTGTAAACATCTGTCTGTACTGACAGGTCCAGTCTGGATGAATACTGCCCAGCTGAGCAGGTGGACTCGGTCCAGGAACGGGTTCTGGCTGTTCTGGAGGGTCTGTATGGTGACCTGGATGTGCAGAAAGACTATGAAAGCAGCGAAGACGCTGAGGACTGCCAGCCAAGGACATCTGAAAGCAGCAAAGACGCTGAGGACTGCCAGCCAAGGACATCTGAAAGCAGC